AGCTAGGGGAACAGCCTACTACCATTAATCTTATTCAGTCTTGACAATTCTCTAACTCGTACATCATGACAATTGGTGATGATGAGCAGCATCTTGATCAGCACTCCCAGGACCATAGCTATACGCACTACGCATCTTCTTGAAACTTGAAAGTGTCACGCTCCAATTCAATGCCTTCGGTGTTACGGTCGTGAACAACTAGCACCTTCGCTTCAACCAGCAGACACAATACTACTACTACTACTACTACCATTGTTAATAATGTTGTTGTAGAAGAAGCGAACATCCCAACCAACAATACCATTTTTTTTTTAATATATATTCTCTATATCTGATTTGAAAGTTGATCGATCAACTTATATACTGATCACAGACAACGAAGAATGCGCGCAGCTAGCGTTAAGACATTGACGATCGAGTCCTGAAACGTCGAGGAAATTAAACCTCATGTGTCGACTGGAATGCAATCGGCAATATTCCCTGGAAGAGCTGAGATACGTACGTAATGTGGTAAATGAGCTGTTAAAATCAAGTCCGGCAACATTTTCGCGTATTCCATTTTGCTTTCTAGATCGATTTTTTTTATTTTTTATTCTGCAATCATTTCCACATGGGAATCCACGATAGTCCACATTAAAAGTATAATAGCTCAATACAACAATTACTGTACATCCAGACAGCTTTTCCTATTCATTGTGACTCAAAATTCCTATTCACTTACTTCTGATTGGTTGTTGGGCTCTGGTGGACCCTTTGAGTGCTATTGCCGTCGTTTACAAGTTTTTTTCTTTATTTTGTTGGAGCGATCGGAGATGGGACGAGCAGCAGAAATAGCTTTTGCTTTTGGTTAGAGTGACCTGGAACGCTAGAGAGGAAATCGCGTTGGTCACCGGGATTCTTTGTGGGACCGATGATTTTTGGTTTTCTGATGGAAGCTTCGGGGGATGGGGATTTCAGTCGCCGAGGAATTGGAGGGCGAGTGCTTGAGTCTCCTTTTGCAGGTGGGAGTTGTGCCAGGTTCGCGGCTCGAGGTGGTGAAGGTGAATTGGGGTTGTCATGGATATTTGGGGGGTTTTTCTCTCTTGGTTTGAGGGGATTGAGCGATCAGATTGGGAAGTCTGCTCCTTTCTCCACCACATATTTCACCTAACCCAATTGCAAAGAGATGGGTCAAGACCAAGGGAGAGAATTTGTGGAGATCAGAACTTTACTTTCTACCCCATTTTCCTTCTTCTCTCCTCCCGACTGTTCTCTCTCTTTCTCTCTTCTTTTCTATGTGCAATGCAATTGGTTTCTTCTCTCTTCTCAGGAGATGGCGGAGTCGAAGCAATCAACAGGTTTGAGAGGTCCGCAGAAGATCCAGACCAGCCGAGAGTGCCTTTGATTTAAGGTTATTAATCCTTTTCTATGTTAATCTTGCTTTGCTATTCATGCAGTTCCCTTCATTATCTTTTTTTCTCATCATGTTCTTTCTTCCCTCTTAACTCGCCAGATCGAACAGTCATCAGAGAACTGCCGAATACACATCGGCGACTATGACTATAGTGAGAGTCTCTATGAATCCCAGGTATTTTATCTCTTTATTTTCTTAGGTTCATATATGAGTTTTTTATGGATTTGATATAAGGTTCATTTTTACTTCCAGATCTGCTACTAGGTGCAACAAACCTCTCTCATTTGCAGATTCGCTGCAATAATAGTCGAGGTGATTGTGTGATTAAACGGTGAGCTCTCGATCTCTTATTCATGTCATCGGCTTCACGACTTTATCCTCTCTCTGTTCTATGGATTTTGGTTTTCAGTTCTCCAGACCTCGGTCAGCAATGGTCCTATTTTGTACGTTTCCTTCTCCTAATAAGTAGTTCTCCAGCTTCCTCTGTGTCTGTTCAGTTATACTTATAGGTGACTGTTCTGATTCGTTTGTTTTCACTGCAAATTAATGGTTTAATTCTGTCTTTCTCATTGGTTGAGCTTCTTTGATTTCTATAAGGGGAGATTCTGGCGGTGAGTTCGGTGCCCAAGATTGGGACGGTCACAGGTATATTGCTATAGGTGCGTTTTGTTTTTGCTTTTGGGAGATGGGTAGAAGGCTAGAGATCGTATTCTAATAATTGATTCTCCCTCTATTTTCTATTCCTTATTATTTCACTTCTCTTTCCTCTGATTTCTCACAGCTTGCTGTGTTGTCTGCTCTGGACTCTCTTTGGTTAAGGGGTGATCGAGAGCTAAATCTCTTCGGCGCCACTGCACCACCTCCAACCTCACACCACGAGCAGGTCTGTATCATCTCAATTTTTCCTCTTCAGATTCATATTAGAGGTGCTAATTTGTCCTATTTTCATCGAGGTGCAGGTGGAATCGCATGGGGTTCTAGGTTGATCAATGGATTTGGGAGATCCAAAGGGTTTGGAAAAATGAAAATAGGTAGGTTCATTTTGGTTAGATGTAATTGTTGGATTGCTGAGTTTGTTTTCACAATATTCTCTTACTTTCATCAGGTTACTCCATTTGTCTCCCTTTCTATTCTGTCCAAACCTGATGCACTTAGATGCTGGGTCATAGCTTGATGTCAGGTCAGGAGTTCTACTTGGATTTGGAAAAGCTCCGGGGATGTTCCAACAGATTTTCATTTAGGCTTGCAATGAGCCACCCAAAAGAATTGCTAATTAGTGGCTACTGGGGATGTTCAGCAAATTTAGTTTTCGCGTGTATAGAGCACTACTTTGATTTGATATATTGGCAAAGTTGAGAGTGATCTCAATTAGTTCGTAGCTAGACTCATGTGTTACTTTATGATAAAACCCAGGAACCGCAATTGAAACTGTGCTCATTCAGTGGTATCTTATATACAGATGTTTGAACATAGTTTTTGCTTTTAAAAGGTGGTCTCCTTGATTTGTTTTTGTATCAGAAGCTCTTCAATGAGAAGGCTTGGAATCATTTGTTGTGAACAATTGTACATGGATTCATCCCTCTACTAATTTTGTGCTTATATACTATCCCACGGGTGGTCAGGTTGTACATTTTCTACGTAGCTGTGCATCTAATTTTGCAGCACAACCGAACTTCACTTTTTGCTGATGGAATTCACTTATCCTGGGGCTTTATAAATAAAAACAATGGAATTACATCTTCGTGGCTTCTTCAGAAGGGAAAAAAAACCAGTCGATGAAGTAAACCATGCACTACATATATTTATCATGTGTAAGCTAAGCACACATTCGCCATATTAAATTTCGAAATTATCCATTTCTGTTTCAATAGTTTGTTCAAATCCCGGCGCAAAGCGCGGGTAAAGAAAGCTAGTTTTTATTATTTGTTGATTGGTGCGGGTGAAGCTGGTCCGGGTGAAGAGAGCTTTGGTCTTCAACAACGATTTGTGAAACTATACTGAAAATTATGCCTCAAAGTCAATGATAAGGTACTGTGTACTAAAAATAGTAATTTAATTGTGGTTCAACTGCTAAAACTGGTCATCGGCTTGCATATAGATGATATTTCTTATGCAACTGACCAACAATACGATTTGTAAAATATTGGTCTATTGGTCTGTTGGGTGTAGGAAGTGGAAAGAAAGAAAAGAAGATGGGTCTAGAGCAGGATGGAAAGTCAACCGATTTTTTAACAAAATCCACACTCAACTAAACCCAATAAAACTTATAAATTTGTTTCCAACTCAAAACTCGTCAACGTCGAGTTCAAATCGATTTGACCGGTCAAATTAGGTTGCATACCAATAAGTTTGGGTTAAGAGAAAAAAGGATGGATTGTGATGTGTAAAATAATCAAATCAAATAAAAAAGAAAATAATAAAAAAAAAGGTATGAGAAATGTGTTGTCAAACACTATCTATTATATCATATCACAAATTCACAATAGAAATGTATTTTCAGAAGGTAAAGAGAGTAAGTTATACTGAGAGTTTGACATAGATTTCTTTTTCTAGTACGAGTCGGATGGAAAGCGACTCGAGTTTTATCACACCATACCCAACCCAGCAATCACAAAAGCATGTATAACTTGCTCCCGACCCAAACTTGTCAACAACAAGTTCAACCCATTCTAATCGTGTCGAATTTGGTAGGACGTTCGTCCATAAAATGATATTGATATATTTTTTGGGTGCGGGTGAGATGGAAAACATATCGAGTTTTTGACGAAATCCATAGCCGAACCAATCCGTCATTTAGAAAAGCGGCCAAAACTCGTGCCCAACCAAAAACTCATCAACACCAGGTTCCACTTGCTCCTAAACCTAAATTCGTCAACACTAGCTTTGGTCGGGTCGATTGTTTTGTGTATTTAGGTGCAGGTCATATGGAAACAGGCCGAGTTTTAACAAAATCTGCACCAGCCCAACCCGCCAATCATAAAAGCAGGTAAAACTCAGTCCCGAGTTTTATTTTTTAGGTGTGGGTCGGATAGGAAGCAGGTTTAGTTTTTAACAAAATCTACACCAATCCCGTAATTTGGAAAAGCAGGTTAAACTCGCTCCCCACCAAAAAACTTGTCAACACCAGGTTCCACTCACTCCTCAACAAAAATTCATCAACACCGGATTCAACCACCTTTGACCGGGTCGATTGGTTTGTATATTTTAGTTACGGTTCGGATGAAAAGCCAACCGAGTTGTTAATAAAATCCACACCCGACCCAACCCTTCAATTGCGAAACCGCGGTTAAAACTCGTTCCTGAATCAAAACTCGTCACCACCGGATTCAACCCGCTTTGACAAGGTCAATTGTTTTTCTTTTTAGGTGGGGCCGGATGGAAAGCGGATTGAGTTGTTAACAAAAATTCACACTTGACCCAACCCCTCAGTTATAAGAGCGTTTAAATTAAACTTGCTTCTCACTCAAAACTCGTCAACATCGGGTTCATCCCAGTTTGACCGAGTCTAATATAGTTAAGATAATCATGAGTTTGGATTCAGCTAATCATTGTCGTTAATTGTAGGACTAATAAGTGGATCAATATAGCCTCCAATCATCTTTCTTGTTCAATCTTCACAATTCTCGAACTGATACTTCAAGACAAGGTAATCACCATGATAGTCACCATCTTCACCGTTATTTCCATGGTCGTCGTAAGTCCTTAGCTTGTTGAAAGTGTCGCGATCCAATTCAAGTCCTTCGACATTACGTTCGTGAACAACTCGCACCTTCGCTTCACCTCCAGTCTCGAGATTCGTCAACTACGTACATGTACACAAATCCACGCATGTATGCTTCACTGAACAAATGTCAATTATTTAGTTAATACACACATCGATCAAGTTCAGTTTAGCTACTTACCTTGAGGCACTGTCCACAGTAAGTACCGCTAATAGTAGTTGCCGGAGTAACGGTACGATTACGAGGTGGACGGAAAGCAGCCAAAGCATACTTGTTACGTTGCGCCGGCGGTATGTTGGACAGTGAAGTTGCACATAATGATGATGATGATGAAGCGTTGACGACGAGATGATCATCATCCCAGCCACTGATGATGATCGTCTTCTGCTTCTTCTTCGTTCCGGCCGGATCGTAGTATTGATTGTGCGTTGCATTCACTACATTCATCGTGGTACTGATGTTATAGAGCCGCTGCCCGCCGCTGCTCACTCCATCAACGGCATGACATTGCTTCCAACAGTTGGTGACACAGTGGTAACGGTCGTTACCGCAGTAGCCGGTGTCGCTGCAGCAGCGGCCCGTGTCGCAGCCAACATAACTCCCGTCTTGGTAATCGGAACCACAGATGCCGCCGGGGATCTCAATGAAAGCAAAACATGGTTGAGCTAGCAGCTGCAGCAGGCACAATATTAGTATTGTGAATAATGTTGTTGTAGAAGAAGCGAACATTCCAATTACCAACAATCCCATTTTTTTTTTTTTTTTTTATTCTCTGTATCTGATAATTTGAAAAGTTGATGGATCAACTAATTATACTGATCACAGACGACGAAGAATGCAGCAAGAGTTAAGCATTGACGATCAGATTCCGAAACGTTGAGGAAACCTCACGGTGGAGTGGAGTGAAATCGGCAATATTGAATATTCCCTGAAAGAGCTGCGGAGTTATCGAGGTGGAGCAGAGGGCATTAATAACGTACACAAAGTTTGGATACGTAACGTAATGTGGTAATTAGCTGTTAAATCAGACCGGCCGGGCGGCAACATTTTCGCTTATTCCATTTTGCTTTCCTGGTCGAATATTAGCTTATTCGGCAATCATATCCACATGGGAATCCACGATTATTAACAATGAATGTGTGGTGTAAAACCCTAACTTGATTTCTCATTGATCATCTTTCGGGTTTTATACAAGGGAAATGGAGGAACAAGACAAGCTTCAGTGAGCTGTCGATTACAGCAAAGGAAAAAGCAGAACAGAGTCCTGAGCAACGAAAGTACAAGGAAGAAAGTGACACTCTGTCTCTTGATCACAACGACGGCGTATCAACCTTCTGCTTCCCTTTGTCCCGAGACGACGTCGTTGGCTTCAATACATTCGCTCTTCCTGAAACGATATCGGACCAGCTGGGCTTGCAAGTAGCCGTTGTGATTGAAAATGAATTTTGGGGATTTTCATCTGATACCACCCCACAAGCTGGTGGGCACAGATTGTGCACACCAAGCTTGGAGAGGAGAGTGGAAAATGTTGTCGGTGGTAGAGCCTTGGTGAAAAGATCGGACAGCTGGTGAAGAGAGGAGACATGAAGTAGCTTGATTGTTGCACTCTAGAGCTTTTCACGCACGAGGTGGCAATCGATTTCGATGTGCTTCGTGCGTTCATGAAAAGTTGGATTCTCGGCGATATGGATAGCAGATTGATTGTCGCAGTAGAGGATTGCAGGCATTGAATGTGGAACCTGGAAGTCACGGAGAAGGTACAACAACCATTGAAGTTCACAAGTAGCATCTGCCATGGCCCTGTATTCAGCCTCACAAGAAGAACGTGAGATGGTCTTCTGTTTCTTGCTGTGCCAGGAGACCAGTGAAGAACACAGATATATGCAATAGCCAGTGACTGAGCGGCGTGTATCCATACAGGCGGCCCAATCAGAATCACAGAATGATTTGAGATGGAGATCAGATGAGGCTGGGAAGAACAAACCAGTGGAGGGAGCCGATTTTAAGTACCTCAAAACTCTGCCCACATCTTGGTAGTGTTGGTTGCTGGGGTTGGACATGTATTGGCTAAGTTGTTGGGTGGCAAAACTGATGTCAGGTCTGGTGGTGGTGAGGTATATCAGTTTGCCAACAATTCTGCTGTAGTAGGAAGGATCTGGATAGGGATCAGAATGGTTGGCAGAAAGATGGAGCTTGTAATCCATGGGAGTGGAGACTGGTTTGGATAGCAGGACTTCACCCTCTTCGAGAATCTCAAGGGTGTACTTCCTTTGGGACAAATGTATGCCTGATGAATTCCTGGCAACCTCAATGGCAAGGAAAAACTTGAGGGGGCCGAGATCTTTGATGCTAAATGTTGTGTGAAGGAACTGCTTCAGGGTGTTTATCTCTGCCAGATCAGTGCCACCTACAACAAGGTCATCCACATAGACCAGGACACAAGTGAAGTTGGAACTATTGGACTTATAGAAGAGAGAATGATCAACCTGGCTTAGAGTGTAGCCAAGGCTGGTGAGACTATCTGCAAGCTTGGAGAACCATTGCCTTGAAGCCTACTTAAGACCATAGAGAGATTTCTTTAACCTGCAAACTGGATTTTTGATGTGGGGTGGGGCTTTGTAGCTTTTTGGAAGCTTCATGTACACTTCCTCAGTGAGATCTCCATGGAGGAAGGCATTGTTCACATCCAATTGGTGAACATGCCAGGATTTTGCAGCTGCAACTGCTAAGAAGAGTCTGACTGTTGCAAAAGTGTCTTGGTAATCAATGCCCTCCTGTTGGTTATACCCTTTGGCAACCAGTCTTGCCTTTTCTCTCTCAAGGCTGCCATCAGATAGGAACTTGTATTTGAAGATCCATTTGTTGCCAAGAGGTTTCCTATTGGCAGGTAAGCTCACAACATCCCAAGTTTGATTCTGTTCAAGAGCATCAATCTCATGATTGATTGCTTGATTCCATTCTGGTCTTTGTGCTGCTTCTTCATAAGTCTCAGGTTCTTTGTAACAGGAGATGTTAAGAATGAATTTGAGATAAGGTGGAGACAATGAATTGTAATCAAGTACATCAGAAAGAGGGTAGGTGATACCTGGAACATGTTGCTGAAGAGAGTGACTGGAGGAAGAAACCTGTTGAAGTAGGTTGCAATGGGAATTTTGTAGTTTGGATGGTTGTTTGATGGTTCTGGTGGGTTTTCTTATGGCAATTGGAAGGTCTGTAGAAGGAGGTTGGTTGGGATGGGGCTGAGGATCAGGAGGAGGGGAAGTTGGTGGTGATGGTATTGGGGGAAGTTGCTGTGGAATTGGTTCTGGTGTGTCAGCAAAAAATGGTAGTGGATAGGTGTAGGTTGGTGGAGAGGGAGCTGGTGGGGAAGATGAGGGAGGTGGGGAATGAAAAGGGAATTCTGTTTCATAGAAATGGACATCCCTAGAGGTGAATATGTCATGGGTGCTTAGATCATATATCCTGTATCCTTTGATGCCTGGGGTGTAACCTAGGAAAACTCCTTTTCTGGCTCTTTCTTGGAACTTAGTTCTGTGGCTGGTAATGGTGGAAGCATAGCAAAGGAAGCCAAAGACTTTTAAGTCTTGGAGATCAGGTGGTTTGTGGTGGAGTTTCTCATAGGGGGTTAGGTTGTTAAGAACTGGGGTTGGGACCCTATTAATGAAAAGACAGCATGCTTGACACAAACCCCCAGAAACCAATGGGAAGGTTTGCTTGGTATTTTAAAGCTCGAGCAATAGCTAGGATATGTTGGTGTTTGCGCTCAACTTTGCTGTTTTGTTGGGGTGTCTCTATGCATGACATTTCATGTATGATTCCAGTTTGGTCAAAGAAGTCTGTCATTAGGAATTCCTTCCCTTGGTCACTTCTAATTGTTTTAACAGAATTGGAGAACTGGTTTGTGACCATGGTGCAGAAGTTTTGCAGTTTTGGTCTGGCTTCTGCTTTTGAGTGAAGAAGAATGAGCTAAGTCATTCTGGAATGGTCATCCACGATGGTAAGAAAATATTTAAAACCATCATATGTAGGAAAAGAGTTAGGACCCCAGATGTCTGCATGCATAAGTTGAAAACAAGCAGTAGTTACAGTTGTGCTTGATGGAAAAGGAAGCCGTTTTTGCTTGGCAAAATGGCAAACATCACAGCGTAATAAACTGTTGGTTTCTATGGAATCACAAATTTGTTTCAAATGTGGTATTCTGCTATGGGAGACATGTCCAAGTCTGAAATGCCAGATGTCAAAAGTGGGGGAACTAACAGCTGCTGTGATGTGGTTAGGTGTACTATCTAATGGAAGATTGAGGTGGTAAAGGCCATGAAAGAGCTTAGTAGAACCAGTCACTCTCCTCAGCTTCAAGTCCTGTATAGTGCAAGAATCAGAAGATAAAGTTAAGCTGAGAGGGCTGGTAGTTGTGAGTTTGCTCACTGAGAGTAGGTTGAAGGTAAATTTGGGGACAAAGAGGACATCTTGGAGAATCAAACCATCAAGGCATTTGATTTGGCCTTTATGTGTGGCCTGAACTCTATCACCAGTGGGAAGATTTATGAAAATATGATGTACTTTTTGTGAATTGGAAAGAAATGAAATGGAATTAACAATGTGATCAGTGGCACCAGTATCAATGATCCATGGAATGATTGTGCCAGTGTGATGAGTGATATTGCAGGAAGGGTTACCTGATGAGCCAGAAGTGTAGTGAGTGGGAGGACTTGCCCTTCATGGTCTCATTCATGAGGGACATCAGTTTGTCATAGTCTGTCTTGGTGAGCTTGAACTCCTTGTCAGATTTAGTGGAAGGATGGCTGTCAGCAGCATTGATTGAGGACCTTGGTCTTTGAGGACCTGGAGGTCTGGACTGGGAAGGAGGTGGGTAACCATGCTTCTTAAAACATTTATCCTCAGTGTGACCTATGCGTTTGCAAAAGGTGCATTCAGGAGGCTTGGAGGAGGGAGTAGATGGAGTAGTAGATCCCCTTGGAGTGTAACCTGGAGGTCAACCATGCTTATGATAGCATGTGTCCTCTGTGTGACCAGGTGTGTTGCAGAATGTGCAGTGAGGACGTTTGCCTGAAGGGAATGGGCGTTTGTAGCCCTGAGCAGCAAAGGCTGAAGGTTCAGCTGTGACCAGTTGGCCCTGTTGAGTACCAAACAGTTGTCTCTCGTGTTGAAGAGCACGTTGGAAGACCCTGTCTATTGATGGCAAGGTGTCTCCAAACAGTACTTGGGATCTCACAGTTGCAAAATTATCATTCAAGCCACGAAGGAACTGGATAACTGAATTGACATCTTTATAACCAAAAACAGCATTCATGGAAACACAAGTTGTGTGACTGGTGTCTGTGCAGCGACAGGGATCTATGGGTTGATAATTATCCAGTTCATCTTGCAAGGCAATGAGATTCCCATAGTATTTGGTCACAGATTGGTTACCTTGCTTGATGGTGGCAATGACACCAATCAGCTCTGCAACTCGAATCATGTCCCCTTGGCTATAGCGTGATTTGAGGCTTTGCCAAGCTTCTGAGGCGAGTCGGCAGGACATGATGGTTTTCTTGATGAGGGGATCGACTGCTTGTTGAATCCAACTGAGGACCATCACATTGTTTCTTGTCCAGGAAGAAAATGAAGCATCTGTTGGGGCAGGGGCGACGATTGTGCCATGGATGAAGCCAAGTTTGTTCTTGGCGGCCAATGCGTTGAGCATAGCCTTGCTCCAGTCGTTGTAGTTGGTGGTGGTCAGCTTCTCACCTACCAACAACAACCCTGGTTGATCAGAATCATGAAGAACGAAAGGATCTGACATGGGATCCATGTTTGGAGGTGCTTCTTGAGCGGCCATTTGGGAGGCGGCGGCTAGGGTTGCTCTGATACCATAACAACGAATGTGTGGTGTAAAACCCTAACTTGATTTCTCATTGATCATCTTTCGGGTTTTATACAAGGGAAATGGAGGAACAAGACAAGCTTCAGTGAGCTGTCGATTACAGCAAAGGAAAAAGCAGAACAGAGTCCTGAGCAACGAAAGTACAAGGAAGAAAGTGACACTCTGTCTCTTGATCACAACGACGGCGTATCAACCTTCTGCTTCCCTTTTTCCCTAGACAACGTCGTTGGCTTCAATACATTCGCCCTTCCTGAAATGATGTCGGACCAGCTGGGCTTGCAAGTAGCCGTTGTGATTAAAAATGAATTTTGGGGATTTTCATCTGATAATTATACCACATTTTGTTTGAAGTATCAAAACCCATTGCAGGCGGCTGAAGAGTGAAAATTCCTAACACTTCAACCATTCCAATCCAATGTTTCCGTTTGCCATTGGTGGATTCACTTTCTTTTTTTTTTCTTCTTAATATTTAATTATGATAACTCAATCAAGAATTCAAATATAAAAAAATATGAAATCACCAATAAAAAACTGATATGTGGCTGGTTGAAGTTTCTACAACCAACCAAGGTTGGAGCTAAGAATTTTCCGCTGAGTAAGGGAACCTTTGGGAAAGATGCAAAATGATATTTCAATTTCGACTATCTTTGGATTTTTTATTATTTATTGATTGATTTACTTAAAAGAGAATATAAAATAGATAAGAAGTCTTGGCTGCTTGCTTGTTGTTCCATTTCTTCAACAGAAACTGTCGTCTGAACAAAGATTGTGAAACCATACTAAAAATTACGTCAGAAAGTAAGTGATATGATATTTAACACTAAAATCACACTTTGACCATTATTCAATCGTCAAAACTGCTTACAATTTGAGATATGATATCCAATATTTTCAATCCGACCGGCTAACGGTATTGTTTACTAGAATATTGGTCTCCCGATCTTGTTGGTATGGCTCAAGTTAGGATGCATAACTAAATCTGGACCTTCCTTTTTTTAATGGGCCCAGAAAATTCAGATATAAATACTAGAAATTAAATGCATTTTATTTTTCCTAGTTTTATTAATCAACTCTTATCTTTTTCGTTCTAACTCGGATTTCAAAAAAATTTGCACAGATGAAACGAGTTTGTTCTGCTCTACAAAATGAGATTCATTTTCAATATTTTTTGAGAAAAAAATTTCATACCTCTCGTTACTAACTCCATACCATATGGTATCTTCTTCATTTTTAAGTCATTTTTGAAAAACTTTTCACAAAAAGAATGAGTTCATCATGATTTATTGGACCTAAAAATTTCCGGGTGAAAAAAATAAATGACCAAAAAATACCACACAATACCATCCTGTTATGGGAGGAGGTATCGTACACAATGTTGAAACTCGTAAATGACAGTCAGTATACTGCACTATGGTACGATGTTCATACCATATGATATGCTCTTATTTTAAATTTTTAATATCCATCAAAACCACCATGGTATAGACCGGTAAAAAGTGCCTCAATTTTTTCTTTAAAAATATATCAAAGTAGATATCATTTTGAAGAACACAATTAATCTGATTTATCTGTGCAAAATAAAATAAAATTGTGACTTAAAACGAGAGAAAAATCATCCATTAAAAATTAAAGGAAAAAATATTAAGGACTTTTTAGGAGAGAGAAAAGTGTTGATGTGGCGGATTCCTGTTGGGTTACTCACCATAACTAAATTTAGACCTTTCTTTTTGAGTGGACCCATAAAATTCAGATCTAAAGGTGGAGAATGAAAGTCATTTTATTTTTCCTAGTTTTCTTAATCGGCTCTTATCTTCTTCGTTCTAACTTAGATTTCAATTTTTTTTTAAACAGATGGAACGGGTTCGTTGTGCTCTAAAATGCAACTAGGCGGATAACAATGATTATTTGGGGTTCTGATATGTATTCTCTTGTGGGGTGAGGGATCTGTGATGAGAAGGGGTGGCTCCTGTGATCTACACTCTGACGCCCAAATTAATACGATTTAGAGGAAAATGCATGTAAAGTAGATGTAAAGAGAGAACCATGTGTAGTGAATGTGGGGAAGAGAGAGATCCTTTGCTTGGAGGGATTGAAGCTCTATATATAGGAGTCTGACACTTCCTCAATCTAATGCCATAGGGGCTTCATTGAGGCTAATGCAGGGTGCCTCAGAGGCTGAGGCTTCTGAGTGAGTTGGAAGTGTCTTAGAGGCTGGGGCATCAAGAGAGGTGTCCTAGAGACTGACGTATTTGAGTGAGCTGGAGGTCTCAGGGGAGGTGCCTTAGAGGCTGGGGCCTCTGAGTGAGCTAGAGGCCTCCGAAGATTAAGTCGTTTTTTTGCTAAATTTTGTAAAAGAATACATGCATTAACTTTTTTGGGGGCAACTCACAATCACTCAAAATGAATTATTGTGAATCTCTACCTAAAGCTGAGATTCTAAACAAAGTATTGTGTCCTATATTTTTATTCCATTTTTGTCCCTGCTATCTTTTCTTTATACTAAGAATAACCTCATCTTCCACTACTCCTCTCTCATTGTCATCAAAATTCTACGGAAGCCAAAAAATGAAGAAAACTTCGCTGCTCCTCCCTCGACGACAGTTGTCGGAATTCCACCAGAAGAAAAATCATTGAACTCCCCTGCTCCTAAGTCCACTCTAATCCTTGAAATCCTACAGGAATCACTGCCTCCTCACTATCATGGAACTGGCTTGGTAGATGTATCTTGCCACCGAAATTCGTCGGGAATCGAAGAAGAAGAGTCGGCTTCTGTTGCGAATTACTACCTCCCAAACCAGCACCATGCCCTCACCTCTCTTTTCTCTTCATAGCTCTTAGGGTTTTTTGAAGATCGGGCCAAAGGGGTCTTGAATTAGGCAATAGATCCAACTTGTATAGAGAATTAAAGATTTTCCCCCTCGATCCAATTCTTCTTCAATAGTCAATACTGTCTTGAACAGGGACCTACCTACTTCCTCCTCTTGTTTGGCATTTTTAACTGAGAGTGGATGGTGTCGGTGGGGTTTTGAGTTTAGTGGAGATGGTGGTAATTGGTAATTGATTTCTTGGTGGGGATTTGAGTTGGGAGGGATATAAGCAAAAATAATTAATAGTGATGGGATGGCTTTCATTGGAGTTGATTTTTGAAATTGGGGAATCATAGACACCAAACAATGTATTTGAGAAATATATTAATTTACACACTACATATAATTATAATACAGCAATTCATTACATCTATCCATATAGACAATCACAACCTTCAAACATGTCCTAAAAATGTTCGGTGTGAAATTTTAAATATCAAAACCCTTTTTGCGAAAATTTGATCTATGGCGGAATTGGGAAAAGTTAATCTGCTAACTTGAAAATTCGTTAGCAGATACTAACTGATATCCAAAATACATGAACTAGTATCCAAGTACTAAAGTATCTAGAGAGCACAGACTAGTATTCAAAGTTTGCTAACTGATATCCACCATTAATCAACTATTATCCCAAATTCACAAACTAATATCTAGACAACACAGAATAGTATCAATACAACACATAATTAGTATCCAGATAACCCATAAGAATATCCAGATAACACATAATAGTATCCATATTGAATACTAGTTGGTTGATTGTGGATATTAGTTGGTATCTGCTATCTGGTAACTAGTTTGTGATGTTTAGAATACTAGTCTGTGCTATCTAGATACTCAGCAGACTTGGATATTAGTTCATACATTTTAGATATTAGTTAGTATATACTAACGAATTTTCAAGTTAGCAGAATAACTAGCCTGGGCGGAATTGGGCCGTGGCCTGATTCTAGATAAAAGAAAAGGACTGTGGGCCTAAAACTCACTAACGTGAACCGCTCCAGAACCCTTCACTCACCCAGAAAAAGAAAACCGGAATGAAGAGATTGGGTTCATGTTCGAGGCGCGCCACCGTACTATTTCACATTCAGGCGTCTCCCTCCATTCCCAACCTTCCATGAATTCTCTCCTCAGAATCCGCCGCTGGCCATTTCCTTCTGCTCTCACCTCCGCTTCTCGCCGACGACTCTCTTCGTCGACCGTCACTTGTACGTATTCCTCTTCAACTCGCTCTGCTGCGCCTCCTCTACTGCTACTTGTTCCCTTGTGACACTCGGATTAGTCCGATAAGCGTGGAGAGAAAAGCTCGATGGTGAGCTCGTTGCCTTGTAATGTCTGCTGCAGGTCGTACGGAGGACGGGTCGCCGGTGGAAAGCTCTAGCTTCGTTCATCCTTGGGCGGTGGTCCATCCCAATGCATTGATTGGCGAGGTTCAATCTCTCCTCATTCCGCTTTCCTTTTTCTCTTGTTCCTCGACTTTCAGAGTTATCGTTAAGAGTACGACCAATTTACTAATTGGCAGGGAGTTTCAATTGGTCCATTTTGCACCGTTGGATCCACCGCCAAGCTTGGCAATGGCTGCCAATTGCATCCCGGCAGTCATGTTTTTGGAGATACAGTGATTGGGGAGCGTTGTGTTTTGATGGCGTAAGTTGCACGAGAAGTCCAAGATGTTGTTTATCTTTTATCCTTTGAGATGGCTCTTTAATGGGGAAGAGTTTTTATGGGGATAATCATTGTGCAAATGTTGTAAAACTGTGTCAGGCAGTGGTGCTGTAGTTGGTGAGGATCTTCCCGGGAGGACCGTGCTTGGGGCAAATAACACTGTTGGTCATCATTCTGTAATCGGTGTCAAGTGCCAAGATTTGAAATACAAGGTGAATTTTCTCTGTTCGTTCAGCCCCCCCTTTCTGCTCTTGAACAATGACAGTAGATGGTTGAATTGTTAGATGTACTTAATAATGGATTCAAAGACCTCTTCATACGCTGTATATAGGATTATGGCTTTCCACACAAGTCTCTATGCGTCTATTGAATTGGGTGTGGAGTTGTGTTTGCTCACTTTAAAGTTTTGTTTCCTTCCTTTTCTGATAAACCAAGATGCATCTACAACATTGTCATCCTGGTTATTTTCGAATAGGTTTTTGCTGAACTGGGTATACTTTAAACTCTAGTCCTTGCATTTTTTGCTCTCTTTCTCGCTCAAACTCTGATCCTTTCCACTTGCCTTTGTTCAACTTTGTTTTTCTCTTACATCATAGCTAGTATAATTAAGTTCCATTGAAGAATAATCTCCAGAATTATAGCTCTGTTGTTTGCTCTTGGCACAAATGTTGCTTGTTTCATTCACCTGAAGTAGTGAACCCTGGTCTCTACTAAATTTATCATCTTTACCTTGTTTGTTTGTTATGACATCGATGTTGCTTGTTTCATTTTCACTAACTGTGGCGTCTCCTTTCTTTCTCATCATTGAATTTAGTCAGGGGAAGAATGTTTTCTTGAAATTGGAGACAACAATGAGATTAGAGAACATACATCAATCCACAGATCTTCAAAGTCGGATAATCAAACGGTATTCATGGTGAATTATTTTTGTTCTTCACAGTGGTAAAGAGAGATTGTCTTTATTTTTGCTTATTGAATGTATTTTGACTTAGAACGGTTGATACAGGTCATTGGTCACAACAATCTAATCATGGGTTCTTGTCACATTGCTCATGATTGCAACATTGGCAACCATAACATTTTTGCTAACAATACTCTTCTAGCTGGGCATGTTGTTGTGGGAGTAAGTTCCTTGCTCATCAGTTAGTCGCCCAATGATAATATTACTGGCAGACATGGTTCAATGTCTAATGATGAGTTGATTCAAGTGGTATAAATGTAGGATTATGCTCACACGGCTGGTGCTATCGTCGTTCATCAGTTTTGCCACATTGGTTCTTTCTCCTTTGTTGGTGGCGGATCAGTGGTGACACCTTTAATCTTCTTCCAATTCATTATTTCATTGAGATTGATGTATATTCTTGATTAGTGGGGTGTGCCTGGTCTTGTGGATACTGCATACTGGTGTACTTCGGGACATATTTTTGTTTCTTGCTGTTCACAATACCTGCCTTTCTGAGCATAATTGTTGTACAAATGTGTTTGTTTCGAGCAACGTACCCACCTAACATGGTGAAAGAATTGTGTATTAATGTGTCTTCATGCCTTTGGGAAAATGGTGGCTATATTTGTAATGTCTGTATACTTTCAGGTTTCGCAAGATGTCCCCAAGTATACAATGGTGGCTGGAGAAAGGGCTGAACTTCGTGGTCTGAACTTGGAGGGTCTTCGTCGCCGTGGATTCTCAGTCACAGAGGTTGGAAATGAGTGGCCTTCTAATTATTTTTTGCGACTCCTTATTCGTTATTTTCAGTTGTTTCAATTGGTTTGTATTTTTCCCCTTTTAAAGCTTGTTACTCCTATTTAAGCTAGTTCGAGCTATTCAGAATAGGGAGAGTATATTGAGTCTTTTGACTGCTATGGCGAAACCCATTCTTCACTGGATTTTGTTGCGAATTCCTGGCTCCTGGTTTGGAAGGTAGAACCCGGCAACTACATTTCATTATTTTCTGGAGTGACTGACTGTACCTCAAACATAATCCTACTTTCCCTTCATGTTATAGACGACCCTAAGTGCATCATAATGCATATCAGAGCTTCTAGGTTGCAATTTAGGTCCTGTGGCACAAAGGGATGCTAGCACTCATTCTATTCTGAGGGTTTCCTCCATATTGATTGGGCTTGACCTCCTTACTTCATTCGTTGTTTCGTCCATCAACTCCTACTTTTCTCTTGTCGAAGTCAATTGTCTTGCATGAAGTATAAACATGAACGGGAGTATGAGTCTACCCTGTAGATTCCGCTGCACGTCTCATCTTCACGTTTCCATTTGCTTGAACTTGCTGCTGGTTGTGATTCACATGTGGACATAGCGCAGCTGTGTGTTTGGGTTTGGGTCATCCTGTTGATTGGAATCTGTTAATGTATCTTTTTTCTTTTTGTAATAATACAGATTAAGAGCTTGAAAGCAGCTTATAGAAAGTTATTCATGCCTGTTGCTGCAAATGCTATGGGATTTGAAGAGCGACTTGCCATTCTGGTACTTTGTCTGGCTTATGTCCTTCGACCCGCCTAAGAACCCTCTCAACTTCCTCTCTCGGTTCTTACTAGTCTTTGCAGAGCACCTTTGGAGTAAAGACGTGTACATGTTCTTTAACAAAGGCATGTGAATTTGCAGGACCAGGATGAAGAGTTGAGTAAGGTCCCTGCTGTACACTCCATGGTACAGTCTCTGCGGGATTCTTTCCTAGAAAACCGCCGAGGAATATGCAAATTCAGACAGTGGAGTGGCTCCTAAAAAGAATTTTTATAGGTTAGTGTCATCTTTTCTTCTCGCATGGCATAAAGCCACAAACTCCTGCTTCCTGCACCATATGTTCTTAATTTGCATTAAGTGTATGCTTATACACATTTCTTCTATCTGATTCGTTGGGTTATGCTTATGCACATTTCTTCTATCTAATTCACCTATATATATTTTTTTTTATCTCAATCTTGCGATGAAATTGGTTAGCAACTGATCTTAAATTTCTTGTAGGAATCCATCAACACTTCCCTAAAGCAGTTCATTTGCTTTAGTTTTTGTACCATGGAGACAAACCGCGGAGGCTAGAAGCTCATAGAATGCAGCTGTGTGTCGAGTAATTTCTCAATCGCACTGGGTTATTCTCAGTATAATTTTTACTGCCATACTTGTATCATGCTGATTCCAAAACACAGGTGTTGAGTGAAAAGCTGATTCATGTATACTCCTCAGTTGACCTTCTCTCAGTCAGTCTATACTGTGAATTTCCTGAAAAGAGTTGTTCTAGAACTAGAAAGTGATTGGTTAAGGCTGCTTTAGACCTTCTTCTTCTTCTTCGTCAATCCCAACTGCATCTCTTTCCTGCATCATCTCCCATTAGTATGTTACATATTTGATTACTTCCTCTGGAAAAGGGATATATTCCCTCATGAAACAGGTGGAATATGCTTCTATGGCTGTTTGTCCTGTAGTTGCGATGTTGGTTTTGTGGGTTGGAGTGTACTGAATGGACGGTGGAGTGATTAGAAATGGTAATGGTCTTTTGGTTGGCTCTAGTATAATAACCAGATTTATTAACTACTTTTTGCTGGTTTCTGTTTGTTGAACTTTTGTTAAGATTGAGGATGGCGGCACATGCTTGTCCTCGAGAAAAAGGATTTTTCTGAAACATTCAATTTCTGTTTTGTTTTGTAGGATATCGATATAATTTTGTAGATATTATAAAATTTATTATGAAGTCTAAGTTTGGATATGATATTTTTTAAAGGGTTAATTGCATGGTTGGTCACCAAGATTAAAAAAACGTTCATGTTTGGTCACTGGAAATATTTAAATCCAATCTTGGTCACTCAAATTAGTTAAATGGTTCAAGTTTGATCACTCTCCGTCCAATTCCGTTAAATTTGTCTGATGTGACAGTCAACCCTCAAAGTTGATCGTTAACTCAGTGACGTGGCAATTTAAAAATAGTAAACAAAATAAATTTTAATTTTCTGTTATTTCCAACTCATTTTCACAATAAAATAAAATAAAATAAATAAACCAAAAAAATATTATATTTACAAATTGAAAAGGGGTCAGCTGTCTGCACCAACTGAGTTACCTTTCCTGACCGAGTTCATTCAGCGAGTCGACGGTGAGAGCATTGCCGGAGGATATGCGATTGCCTATGCCTCTCGCTTCGCCGGTCTCCTAACCAATCGCGTGCCAACATACGGTTTCCGAATGCGCATTTTAGCGGGATACCGAGCCGATTTACTCAAATTTCATTCTATATCCACCTATCCCTGAGCAATTCTCTCACCGTCGCCGCCGGTCCCTCAACAAAATGAGGAGGGGTGAGAAAGAGAAACTTACCATGGAAATCACCAAATATGAGGAAATTAACAAGCTTGACACCATCTCGGCCACTAAATGAAGTGTCACTAATGTAGGTAATGCACAGTTTCTGCATGGCAGTACCTGGCCGCGGAATGAATCGGGATATCCTCCAATCTGTGATTCATTAGCTGCAACAATCTGGGCTCTTTGTGCGCCAAAAGCTTTGCGGCACCGGTATTCCCAACAATGGCTGCACTGTGCAGCGCAGAGTCACCAAATGCATTCGTCAGCCCCAGTGGTTCTTCCGGTACTGCTTCACCAATCTTTGCACGAAACTCAGAGATTGGGGGATGTTATTGAAAACTGCTACATGGAGAGGAGTGTCTTGCCGAGCTGTGATTCTAGTTGTTGGTGTAGAAGATTAAAATTTATTTTATTTATTATTTTTTAATTGTCACGTTAGTGAGTTAACGGTCAACTTTGAGGGTTGACTGCCACGTCAGACAAATTTAACGGAGTTGGACGGAGAGTGACCAAACTTGAACCATTTAACTAATTTGAGTGACTATAATCGTCAATAAATATTTCCAGTGACCAAACATGAACGTTTTTTGTAATCTCGATGACCAACCATGAAATTAACCCATTTTTTAAATGACGCATTTTAGAGAAAAAAAGTCTAATCTTGATTGTCACAATCCCCCTAGCAATTTGGATTGCTACAAAATAAAACAATTCTTAATTTCCACATGCTAATGTAATTTTTTTACTATCAAACGAAACATTTCAGCCCAAATGTATGATTGGGAGAGCAACTAGACATATTGTCTCACTCAAATGTCTTGTTCAAACGATGGCCTGTGAAAAAAAGGAAAAGAAGAGAGAGCGGCATAAGTGATTATGTAGGAGAAAAATATCTAGATTCCCATTTGATTTGGACCGTTTAATCTCCTTGAATTCAAAGAAAATTTATCACGAACAATTAGAGTTATATAGCATGCCTGATTGGTAAAGAGAAATGACTATTTGTAGTAAAATACCATTCATAAATAAATTTATCAAGCCTAATGAGATCCGACGACACACTACTCAAGGATTCTTTTTCGAGTTTTTAATTGTTAATCGAATCACTTTGTTTGCTTACAACTTCCTCCACCAAATTGATCCACATATATTTTTACATATACAAAGCAAAACATACCAAATCATAACAATACAACTTTTTATAAAAAAAGATAACAACCATAAATAATGATTAAGATAGTGATGATCATGATCATGACAATAAAGGCAGCAAGGCCCAATCCATTTGGGGAAGATATTACATTTTACCAATCCAAAATCATATATTATATTTAGTGTTAGTTGTAACTTTAGCTCATGAACTATTCGAATCTCTATCACTGAACTTGCTCAACTAATTATTTTACTATGGTTCCCCTTTAGTTTTTTTTTTTATAATCAAGTTAGAGTTTTTAATTTAGTTTAGTGTTAAGATAGATCCTCATTGTTGACTTAGTACTTGAGGTAACATCGAACATTTCATCAAATGAATCTGTAAGAACAAATTTCTCCATCCTAATTATATCGCTTTAATCAATAAGATAGTTAAACGTGTCATCTGAATTTTTTTTTTGCTCAGATCTCATTGGTTTATGAAGTTGGAGTACAAGTAGAAATTAAGTTAGAAAACAAACCGATTGATTGATGAAATAGTAAGTTTACAAGTGACTATAAAAATATTGCAATTTTTGTCTTTTCCAATTGGGGAACATGACGTACTTAACTTATGATCAAACACCATGGGGATTCATTGGGTGACCATATTTTTCTCCTTAATGCCAAAAATGGAGGGTCCCATAAGACTTTTTAAAACATGGTGAATGCATTCTATACACACACATATACATAAAATCCATACATAATAAAGATAAGGGAGGAGATATGAGATAAGCCATGTTGTGTTGTTTATATAAACCAACCCAATTGGGCAAGTCACAAATCCACACCAAAATTAAAAAAAAAATTCAATAAATATATAAACCCAAAGCCATCACATCCAATCACATTTTTTCCCCATTTCATGAGTACCAATCACATTTGCCCTAGGTGTGTCACCACCCATTTTCCCCAATATCACAATCAACCAAAAAAACAAGTTCATCCATTCATATATACCCACCAAAAACCTTTCATATCTTATCATTAATTTCTCCCCTCTCATTCTTCTTCTTCTTCATCTATTCATCTTCTTCCCACAGACAACCCAATCATTTGCAGCAACTGATTTTTCACAACTAACAAAGATGGGGAGGAAGTGCTCACATTGTGGGAACATTGGCCACAACTCAAGAACCTGCAACACATTCAGGCCACCTCCTCCTTCTTCTTCTTCATCTCCTTCTCCTTCTTCTGGACTTAGGCTTTTCGGTGTCCAACTCGACATGATTGTGCCTTCTCTTCCTTCTACCACCACCACCACTACAACTTCTCCATGTTCTTCTGGCTCTCCTTCTTCTTCATCTTCTTCCCCACCTTCCTCTGCTTCTAACTTTGCCAACATTAGAAAGAGCTTCAGCATGGATTGCTTGTCTTCTTCTACTTCCTCCTCCTCTAACTACAACAACAACAACACCATTCCTTACCACCATCACCACAACAACAAAACTTCCATGGGGTATCTCTCTGATGGCCTGGAAATGGGCAGAGTCCCACTTGACAAAAAGAAAGGTACAATAACTATTCCAATTGAGTATAGTTGGTTCATTCATTTATGTTAAATTATGTTAAAATTGGTGTATTTGGTTATGACATGAATGTGATTGCAGGAGTGCCATGGACAGAGGAAGAGCACAGAAAATTCCTTCTTGGGTTGGAGAAGCTAGGGAAGGGAGACTGGAGAGGCATCTCTAGAAACTTTGTCACAACCAGAACTCCAACACAGGTTGCTAGCCATGCTCAGAAGTACTTCCTCCGACAAGCCTCCCTCCACAAGAAGAAGAGGCGCTCCAGCCTCTTCGATCTCGTACGTTCTAATAACTTCGTATTATTAATCATTCTGTGCGTAATACTCGAATCGTTCCGAGCTTACTGATTCTCGACATGGTATCTGACGATTTAATTGAAAATTTTCCCTTTTTGTTAGATTGGCAACGGGGCTAGTTGTATGAACATTGACAGCCAAGAGGGAAGAGGATCCCAACATCAAGTTTACACCATCAGTCATTACAAGGCAGCCCTTCTGAAGAGTTCCTATGAGCAGCATGTCCCAGAAGCAACAGCTGGTTACGGACATCGTAACAACTCGTTAGAAGTCGCCAATGAATCAAACATTCTTCCAGCAGCCGAGGAGCGGCTGCTGGAATTATCTTTAGCGGGTCCATCATCGACGACTCCAGCTTGAGAGTCGTCGAAAAATTCGACTTCCCAAACCTGGCCTTCTCGTCAAGGTCACTTGAAGAAAACTGAAGTTCAAGTTAATTAACTTATGTGTCTTTTTTTTTTTAATTTCTACTCTGTTCTTTCTCCTCTCTCTCTCACAGTAGTTAGTACAAGTCTCTGTAGTACACATACCCCTCAACTGCATCATCTCTTGGAAAATTAATATATTGTAGTATATGTGTTAGATTCAATGAAATGGAAGAATCTTTTGTGCCCAAATCACTAAAAATAAATAAATGGTGAAATAAATTGTTTATGTGATGACTCACTCTCAGAACAAGAACCAATGGAATCTCATACTTGACACCTACCCATTGGCTGAAATGAAACTAATATAAGATTTCCCAACTAGTTACATGCCTAACCACTTCTAGATATAGCAAATAAAGTAGATTACAACAACTTTCATTACTATATAAACTATGTTTAGATCTCACTACCTCAATACATGTACAACTTGTAAGTATTGAAACATTGTTTAATACGAACAACAATTATTCAGAAAGAAACCCTTATCGTTTTGATAATTTCAAATGCTGGACTGACTTAGTAGCTGAGATAGTAAAAACATCTTCCTCGGAGATACCAGAGGTGGCAAATGGATATATGGTTTAGATTCGAGAAGCAATCCCGAATCCGACAATTTAGTATAGTTCATAGACAAAATTTTATTGATCAGTATTTATATTGTTATTATGGTCACTAAAAGGAAAAAAAAAATACAAATCATATATCTTCGAAAGAATCAATTGGGTTCTCGTCTCTTTACGGGTCGTTTGCTTCATGGATTTGAAAAATGAGGGTTTTGATAAAAT